CCTGCTTGTGTTCCCTCTCTCGCTGTCTCTCTCTCTGTCAAATAAATAAATAAAATCTTTAAAAAAAAAAGAAAGAAAGAAAAACATGGGGGGGGGGGGAAGCAGCCGTGGCGACATTATTACCATCTGTAAAGTCTTATCCTGCACAGAGCCCGTTCTCCACACACCTCCACAGCCGTACTGATCTGAACCGTGCCCTCAGCTCAGGACCCTCAGAATGTGACTCTATTTGGAGACAGGGGCTTTAAAGAGGTAATTAAGCTAAAACGAGGCCATTACGGTGGGCTCTGATGTCCTTAAAAGAAGAGGAGATTAGGACACGGGCACACACAGAGGGAAGATCATGTGAAGACACAAGAAGGTGGCCACCTACCAGCCAAGGAGAGACGCCTCTGAAGAAACCAGCCCAGCTGACACCTTTATCTCACACTTCCAGCCTCCAGGACTGGGAGAAAATAAATTTGTTTTTTAACTCCCCCACCCCACCCCCCAGTCTGTGATGCTTGTTACGGCAGCCCTAGCAAACTCATATAATAGGGAAGATTCCCGAAGGAGAAAGACTGTTCCTCTAATCCAGACAGAGGAACGAACAGCTTTTGCTTCCTTGTGCACATTACCCATTTACTGATGGAGAAGATCAAGCGCTCCCAGGATACCACGTCTGTGTGTGTGTGTTCCCCCTTTCACTGTCTCTCTCAATGTCAAATAAATAAAAAAACTCTTTAAAAAAAAAAAAACTATAATGCCAACTAATGATAGAATTAGAAAAATCACCATTTTGCAACCCCCCCCCCCAGTGAAATAATTCAGGCAAGAATCATCAATGGATATGCACACGGTGCGGTGCCAAATTATCTCCCCCTAAATTACGGGTTAATTGCAAGGGGAAAAACATACCATGCAGTGGAGAGATCTGGCACCACCACTTTAGGCCAGTGTTCAAACTTAGCATCCTGAACAATGGGATAACCTGGTGGAATCTGATGGTTTAAGAAGCACCCAGCATCACCTGGCAACTGTTTAAACGAGCCTGCACCTAAACAAGCATTTGGATCTGACTTCCAGGGATACAGGGCCAGGCTGAACAACATCACAAGGAAATACTCAGCCAAATTCAGGATGTCAGCATCCCCTAAACAACAGGCCTTGATCTTCTCAAAAAAGGGGGGCGGGGGATGGTAGGATCATTCCAGACTGGAAAGACTACAGAGATCTAAAAATCCAGCAGCAATGCCTGTACCTTCACTAGATCCTGGTTTTAAAAAACCACAAAGTTATAAAAAAAAAAAAACCAACAACAACAACTTCGGGGTACAATCGGAGAAATCTGAATATGGACTACATATCAGATGCTGTAGGGAATTATTTTAAATTTTCTTAGGTGTGGTAATAGTGCTGTGATTATGCAGGAGAACATCTTTATTCCTAAGAGATTCATGCTGATGTTTTAAAGCATCATGATGCCTAGACTGTCTGTTAATTGGTTCATAGAATTTCTACATAAAGATGAAGCAAATGTAACATGTTAACAAAGACGGATTCTCCACAGTAGGGTATGTTAGGGGGCCACTGTACTCTTCTTGCATCTTTTCTGTATGTCTGAGTTTTTTCATAAGAAAAACATGAGGAGGGGCACCTGGGTGGCTCAGTCGTTAAGTGTCTGCC